AGTGAGGTTTTCGACTCAAAATCTAAGCACGACAGACGTCATCCAGAAGGGGAACAGCATGGCATCATGGTGGAATGAGGTAGAGGCACATTTGCTTTTGGAAAGGAGTTATTCCTTCCTCGATGCCTTAAACAAGGTCTTCTGGCAAAAGTGTTTCAAAGAGCTGCGAATATGGTGGACTTCACAAATCAGAGACGTTCTGCTTATGCAAACGGATCAAGATGACGATCTCAACAAACAAAATCTTCATGAAGGAAAGAATGTTACAAATAGGCAAATGATTCACATAATAGAAGCGTAACGGACACTGACATCGCAGCAGTCATTACACACTTTCTTACCTTTCTTCCGTATTCATTGCATGCTAATGCCGTACTCTCTTTCCGGCCAGCTGTTATGTCTAAGCTGGCCGTTTTTACGCATATGTCTTTCAAGAGATATCTTATTTGATCGATACTCGCGTGGTTGCAACCCTTCGTTTCCTTTCTAATGCTGCTTTCCGTTGCCCTTTTGCTACTGCACTTAATGTTCTTCCTCTCGTTAGTCTTTCCTTGAACTTTTTTTTCTCGTATTTTTCCCTTTGTTTTTCAAAATTTTACGATTCACATGGAGCTACAGGAGTTTACATCAATTATATGGTAGAAAACGGCTGGGAAACTTGTACGTTGCGTTTTGGCATTGCGCTAACGTTTCTCCATCCCTTGTTTCCAACCGCCTACAGTCCACACTTATTCCTTTATTTCTTTCTGTTCTGTTTCATCTTCTTTTCTTCATTTTATTGTTCATCTTTCGTCTTGTTCCTCTGCTTCTTGCTTCTTTCGTTCTTTTGTTTTTTGTCCTCAATTCATGCTAACTTGATTGTTTTTTTCTTTTTGCTTTTATATCTCATTTTTATTCATGTTTCCCTTGTTTTTCGATCTTCCTTTCATCCTCTTATTTTTTTCTTAGATTTTTCACTTTATTATTTTCTTCTTTCTTTTCCTTTCCTCCTCTTTTGTATAATTTTTATTCTCCTGCATTTTGTTTTTTCTTTTGTTCCCGTTTATCTCTGCTTTTATTCTTCCAGTCTCTCTTTTCTACATTTTCTTTGTGTTTCTGTATTCTTCTTTTTCTTTTCTTTTTTTCCTCATTTTCCTCCTCTGTTTCTCCTACATTTTTTTGCTTCTTTTTTCTCTACGTTTTCGTCTCATTTTCTTTACTGAAGGTGCATATTAGAAATATACAAACTTCTCCTTGGTTATTCTCCGAGTTCGATATGCTGTACATACTGTTTAACTCTGCCGAAAGATGTGCTTCGTAAATGCTTTTTTGTTCATCTGAGTTCACTGTCACAATCCCTGTGCTGTTTCATGATATGGAATAAAAAATATACAAAGTGAGTGACTTGTTTATTTGTGATCCGTTATCCATCATGGCATTCAACGCAAATTTTCCTTCCTCGCAGATTTCGAAGTGAACGAGAAACTGGGCTCTGACAGAGAAAGAATATAAAGTAGCGTAGGAAGCTGGTGATTTTGATAAACTTTAATAATTGCAGAAACAACTTCAGATCGAAATGGGGGAATCGATCGATAGCTGGCTGCATAAAATTTAATAAAGATAATGGAAAGTTCAGAAATAGATATATGAATCTGCTTTTTATTATTCTACTTCCTACGGGAGATTGATATCGATTTTGGTTAGCTATTCATGGCCTTTAGTTTTCAGTTGTTTCCACTTGTAGTATGAGTAGGTTAATGCACAAACAGAAACGGTTGTCTTCCTCTGTTCGAACGGAAGATGACTGTACAGTATGAAATTTGGGCATGTGTTCTGCTTTGACCATTCACATGGTGTGCTATGTTAATGATGTTCAGTTACACATTCGTATGCTGTCCATCCATCGTTATCCGAAACGTTCTGTGGCTAATATAGTTCATGAGTCATCATCCTGAAATTGCAGGGCGGCGGGCTGGCCGGCCGTCAAAATGAAATGATTACAAAAACAGTCTCCTAATTCAAGGAAGATCAGCAGATTCCAGTAATGATCACCTGAAGGCGGCTGAATAATATATTCGGCTTTCTTCATGCCTGCCACGTTTATACTACCCTCCACTCAAAATACCATGTCTTATAGACTGGTGTCGAATAGACAGTTCAGACAGACAGTCCCTTATGTCATTGCCTACATGCTGCAGCAGGTGATGGTTATGGGCGCGAAGTCGATAGAGGGAGGAGAACGTTGTATCAGCCAGAAGAATGTCGTCCCGTTAGTTGTCTTTCGTACTCAGTTTCCTTGGAACAGGGAAGACGTCGAGGAGGTAGTTCAGCCACATTGCTCCAATGTTAGCGAAAGAATTCTTGTCATTCAGCGGTACTATTGGTTTCCACGGACGTAAGCTCGTTTATCGACTGCATCAGTGACGGTAACCGCTTCCTGCGATTGTACAGTTATGACTACCAGTTGAGATTTTATAATAATCCACCAAAACCCCGTTGGCCGACTGTTTCGGAATTAATGACAAGCTTTCACGGCTACGGTGCTGCACCGTTCCTCATCCTTTCGAGCAACCCCTTACTTTGTTCTTGTCTGCCCCTATAGAAAGCACGAGAGAATTATTTTTAGGGAGCAAGCTTGAAGACTGTCGACAGATTTCATTGAAGATCTCCTTAGACTGCGGAAGAACATCTTTCGCCTGTCTTTGTGCCAAGCGCCAATGAAGACGAAGACTTTCCTCCAAATATCCGCTAACGCTGAATGAATATGAATTTCCCGAAACATGACAATATTTGCCACGCTCTATTTAGCTGAATCCTTACGGAGAAACGCAGTTTGTACGTACTGTCCCGTTGTGCGCTTGTTAAGCAACAGAGATCATATGCACTTAAGGCAGTTTCTGGCCGTAATTAGTAAAGCTGTATTACAGGCAGTAAATTGTGGCTATGTGATATTCGGAAGATTTTAGGGAAGCCTTGTATTGTAATTTTGCGTCTTTTGCCTTTTCTTGTCCCATATGAATGATATTGAACAGTTTCAGGCATTTGATTAAACCTTAGACTTCCAGAGTTAGTTTCATGGAAATCATTACTGCTGTGTTATTGTGCATGTTGTGCTCTTCTTAGCTTATTGCCGTCATCTTATTACTCTAGGTCGGTCATCGTCAACGGCGAAGTGGAAGTGACACTTCCTAACGGTCAGAAAAAGTCTTACCACCTCGGTGACTCATTCGGTGTCAAGCCGGTCGCTGATCCTCAATACCACGTTGGCGAGATGCGAACCGTCGTCGACGACTGCCAATTTGTGCTGATGGCTCAAGCGGACTACGTGCGTATCATGCTAAAGGTACCTGAGAATTTCCAGCGCCATACGGACTCAGCCGGCGAAATCATCAGCGAAACCGAACGAAGGTACGCCATAGTTGGTCTGTGTTTTCTTCTTCGATTCGCCGGCGTGGGCGTGTAAAAACTTTTATTTCAGTGTTTAGTCTTCTGATGTAATAAGTATCCGCTTCCCTGAAAAACAGTTGTTCACGGTTTTCAGCGGTGTTAGTTGTGTTTGGCACTCCAGGTGCTCAGATACCTGGAGCCGTGGTGTGTGAATCGTTCCTTTAGTCACCGAATATATGTATATATGTTTGGCTGGCAGTTTGTCAGCAGATGCAGCCTATCTGTGAATCCGACAGTTCATCCCTGATACTATCCAAACATAAAGTTTTCGGCCTACCTCAGTGTCTTCCAGCATGGGTTCGGCACACTATGAATCAGTATGTTGATCAGCAGTTTATCGTCCTGTTGTAGTGCATGGCTGAAAAACTAGAGTTTTAGTTTCTTATATTCGTTACAGGAAGAACTTATGTTATTACCCGCCTGGTGAACTGTATTTGTACTCGTTCTAACGTCTTCCAGCAGTTGTACTTTTACGAACTTATCAGTCAGTCTATAGCCGAGTAGTCGGCGCCAACACGAGCGTTCAAATACATCCGACGCATTCGCTTCCTTTTCGGTAATGGTCTGTGTTGCTGTAGCGTGCATCAGTACTGGTCGAATGGCTGTCGGATATACATGGACTTTCATTGAAGTACTGACAGCAGTTTTCCAATGTTTTTGCTGTAGCATCTTATATGCAATTCGATCCTTTTAGATACACAGCTTCCATCACTAGTGATCATCAGTTCAAGATAGCAGAACATGGTGAGATACTGCACATCTTCCCCGTAAATTTTCATGATATAGACATACTATGAAACAAGTCATTTCTATGGTCTCAGTCAACAACGCCTTCTGATGTTCCTCCGGGTTCATTGCAATGGCCGCAGTGTCATCAGCATAACCCAGATCTTGTAACCGGTGTCCTCATAGTTCAGATGTCACTTCGCTATCTAAGTTTGTAGCTGCCTTTGTGATCACGGCATCAATCCAATAGTTCAACAACATCGGTCCGGTATCCGATCCTTGTCAATTGGGAAGATGTCTGAGAGCGCAGAACGTTTTCGTAGCACACAGCCGCGATCCTGGTATATGTTTTTCAAGATTTTAATAATCTTTTCTGGTATGCCGTCATATCTTTACAACTCGTATGGGGTCCCAAAATCTGGAGAAGCTTCATCAGTCGACGAACCCAACGAACAGCGGTTTGTGGTATGGGTTGTATGTTTTTAACAAGCGGCGCCATGTTAGAATGTAGTCGATGGTCGATCGGCCTGAACGAAAGCACAGTGTTTCTCTCTGGCAGTAATCTCTTAGTAGTGTCGAATGCTGCTGCCAGTAGTTCTCTCAGTGATCTTCAGCGCCTCGCAGATGAGAGGAAGATTCCTCTGTAATTTCGGACATCTTATACAGCGCCTTCTCTGAGTATTGGATTAATCATTGTGTAGCGTCACTCTTCCGGTATTGTTTCTGTTTGCCAGGCTTGTTTCAACAGGCTCCCCGTGGATTTCATCTAGTTCAACTGCTTTACCATTTTGCCCTTTATTTGAGAGTATTTTTAATATCTCCGCTGAAATAATAATACCGCAGTCATAATCAGATGTTCTATCTTTCTGAAAAAAAAGAATTGAAGTAATTGGTGGAAGTCAATTCATAATTTGTTGGAAATGCTCCCGAAATCGCTCTGTACATTTAATTTTTATGAGCATGCGCGATCCGTCCTTCGAACCAACGAAAGACTGCATAGAATTATTCCGCTGTACTGTCGGATTAAAGCAAATGCTCGTTTTGTAAAGTTATTGTATTTGAACGCTTTTTCTGTAACAGCAGCTCGTTTTAACCATAGTGCATTACTTTCTTTAGTCAGGTGGCATTTCATTTCAGTTTTATTCTTTCGCTAGTGTCTTACTTCCTTCAAGTCGGGCTCTTCCCGTTTTTGTAAGTTTCTCGGTTCCTCCTTCCTCAGATTGGCCGGTACGTTCTCTTTGAAGTACTGGAATATTTTCCCTAGCGGAAGTCACCCAACAGCTGCTGAAATCATCATTTGTCATAGATAAATGCCTTTTCAGTGTCTGATTGAATGCCATTGAATTTTTTTTCTGACATCTGGATTTTCCCGTAACCTTGGCATATTTAGCTTTGGAAAGTCTCCAGCCTTTGGCAGTAGCATACGGCACTATCGTTAGCACCACGACAGACATGGTCGGATAGACATGCGCATCTCCAAATACTTTTAGACCGTTTTATGATTGCTTGCAACGGTCACTTATGAGTATGTATTTCAATTGTAGTTGCAAATTCTTCCACCTACACTCTATCTACTGCTCAGTAGTCAAACCCTGTGAACCTTGTCATGTTGGTTTTTGCGAGCGTCTATTTCGCTTCAGGATCATCGCATTTGTCAGGCGGAATTCTTCAGCGAGGTTGAGAAGCATCGATCCATTTTCTGTGGTCGTTTTTGCCGGTAGGAACTCTCCCCAGCGCGACACTGGTTTCATTGCTGCCAAATTCTGCGTTGGCATGTATTACAAGGATTATAAGTATGACACCGAGCAATTGTTCAAGTCTATCGTAGAAAGCGTTCTTTCCTTGTTCATCTGGCGCATGGCCGCATATACCTTCTTCAGCGTTCGATTCAAATAATGCATAAGGTGCCTGACCATCAGAATAGTACGATTTTTCATGTCATCTTTCTTTAATCGCGTTTCTTGGAGGTATGTGATCGGTGCCTTTAGATTGTTCAAGGTTTTGGTGACTGCATCTTACTCAGGGATTCATAGTTCACGATGACAGTATTTAGCTTACCCCGTGGTGGAAGTAAGCTCTGCGGTGGCCCTGGAAAGGGTCATTGGGTTTGGACAGATAGACATCTCGCAGTGACAATATTTTCGCTTCTCGAGATGCAGTGGATTGCTGGTGCCAGGCCGTCCATTGTAGGCGTTTGCTGATATCTGATCTTTGGCATCATGATACATAAATACATACATACATAAATACATACATACATACATGCATACATACATACATACATACATACATACATACAT